AACATTCATATATTTTTTATAGCAGAACACAAGAACGAAAATTATAATTTTTTTAATCTAAAATAGGTAGATTGATAATTATGTTTATTATTCATGTTATTTTAATAATTTTGAATAATGACAATACAAAAACAAAATTCACCAAACAACTTAATTTTTATGAAAAGGTATAAGTAATCTTTAAACTCAATACCAAACGAACCCATCTTAATAGTCTCATTGTCCATGAGTTCCTTTTCATTATAGAAACTGAAGTTCTTTTTTCTTTTTTTTTTTAAGGAAAATGTTCTTTTTAATCAACAAATACTTGAGTCGGTCAAATTTTGCATAAAGATAATTAAGAAAAACAGATATTTAAGTGTGTGTGTGTGTGTGTATATATGTGTGTGTGTGTGCGCGCATATATATATATATATATATATATATATATTTGCTCGATTGGTGTGAATTGTCCATATATATATAAATATATATATATAAAGTGTATTCTTCTTTTAAATATTACGAAGTTACCATTGTCTACATCATCTATCCGACGTCATCAACTCCTTTCCCTTTTATATATGTGTATATGTATATATTTGAGCAACTTGGATTATTAAAATATGAATTATTGATATTAACAGTACATAATCCATATTTAAGCAGCTTGGATCATTTATGGGTCAATTAAACAACAGGTTCGCAGCACCAATAAAACGAAAGAAAAAAACAGAAAGAGAGGAAAAAGGAATAAAAATAAAAAAATAAAAAAAAACCCACTTACAAAACGTTTTATTAGAGGAGCATAAATTTTAAAAAAAAATTAGACAGGGATATGTACGATAAAAAATTATTTAATGAGGAATTAATGAGTAAAGTATATTTATGAAGGTTAATTTCGACAAAAGAAGAAAAAGAAAATTGTATAACAAGATAAAAAAGATAAGAATGTAAAAAGGGAAGATATAAAAGAAAAAAGAGAGAAAATGGAGGAAAGTGAAAAAAGAAAGAAAGAAAGGCAAAGATAAAAATAAAAAAAAATAAAAATAAAAATAAAAAAAGAGCCATTGAAACGGTTCCTTAACGCCTGAAAAATCTCATTCTCTCTTCGTATTGATGCTTAGATAGATATGTATGTATATATATATGGGTGTGCAAATGTGTATATATATATATATATATATGTCCGTATGTGTGTGTGTATAATATTGAACTTCTAAATTAACTTCTAACATAGGAACATTCGTGTTTGGCGTTAAACCAAACTAATACATAGCTTTGGATCTAAGATAAAATAAGCTACTTTCATTGTCTCGCTAATATATAATAATTATTAAGTGTCAGTTTAATATTGTTGTGTTGTCAATTAAAGTTATTATGACCTCGTCCATTTTATCGATTCGAATTTTCAGTTCTAGATTTCTACAGTAAAAAGCTCTCAGAAAATGTCACATCTAACTTTTTCTGTTACAGTAAAAAACTCTCAGAAAATGTCACATCTCAACTCGAATTGAAAACTCGAATCCGCAAAGCGATAATTTAAAAAAAAAAATTATTGTGAATACTATAAGCATAATTTTATTATGAAGATATATGACAATTAAAATGGACATAATTAAATACACATATTTATAGGCCTCGTTTACTTCACGGATTCGAGTTTTTAATTCGAGTTGATATGTGATATTTTGTGAAAACTTTACACTGTAGCAGAAAAAGTTAGATGTGATATTTTCTGATAACTTTTTACTGTAGAAACCTAAAACTGAAAACTCAAATCGGTGAAATAAACGAAGTCATAGTTAGCGTAGAAAGAAGAATCGCAATAATTGCCACGTTGTACAAATTTGGCAAGCCTCATTGTCTCTCTCCAAGTTTTTTTTTTTTTTTTTTAAATACATCAAATATTGCTCTTTTAAAAAATTACAGAAAATGTATGACTGATTTTCCCCTTTCTTCTCTTTTTCCCCCCTTCTTGTATCGAAATATTATTGGACGTTATTCAATAGTTTTTCTTATTTGTGATTCTGAAGCTGAATTATCTTCAGAGAAGTACTGTTTCAAGAGAACAAGTGAGCCTACTTAGAGAAGCTGTTCATGATGTAAGTGAAATAATGCCTTTGTTGATAAATATTTGATTAGTACTTCCTTTGTTATTATTATTATTATTAAAAAAAAAAGGTCAAAATTATTTTAAGCAGAAGTGGGCCGTTTAGTTCGTTGATTCAAATTTTTAATTTGAGTTGAGATGTAATTTTATGTGAGAGTTTTTTATTGTAGCAAAAAAATTAAATGTGATTTATTGCAATAAAATTTAAATTCTAAATTCGAATCGGAACAATTTATATAGCACGCAGAGAGGAATGCAAGACCATTGCAGCCTCTAAATGAAAGAGATACCGACATCTGTGGCCCAATGTTTCATCCTGGGGATTCGACAAACTCGCAATGCAAATGCCTCTCGATGTTTTTTGAAGAAAAAAAAAAAGACAAACCTCTTTTTGTGTGTGTAGTTTAAATTTTAATCCTTTTTAGTTAATTATATTAATTAAAAAGATATTAATAAAAAATCAGAAACGCATTTCTCATTTTTTTTTTCTTCAGTTTTCTTTATTTGAAAATTTGAGTATGGCGCATGTAATTTGAAGAAATGCGAGCCCCTTGTATGATTTTGATAGAAGAAATTATGGGTTGGAAATTTCGTTAACAACAAAATTAGAGGGAACAAACGATAACAAAGGTAGGAACTAAAACATAGGACAGAACGACAATAATGTTGAGAAACGACAAGATATATAAAACCACAAAGAAAGGTAAAATCTCAATCAACAGGGAAAAGGACTAACAACAAGAAGTTCGGGAAGTAACATAGAAATTAAAAAGAACTGGGTCAACAAGGAAAAAGACAAAAAAAAGTAGCAAACGGCAATAAATAAATAAACGACAACAAATTGAAGCACTGGAAGGTAAACGACAGTGAACCGAACAATGAGAATTAAATGAAAATGCAAGAACGCAAAATCAGCAACGAAAACTAAATACCACATAACAGAATGAAAAGGAGGATAACAATATAAAAAATAAAAAATAAAAGTGAATTACTAACGACAATGAATCTAAAAACTTTTAGTGAATGGGAAAATGAACAGGGGGAGGTGGGGAGCGTAAATGGGAGTGCGGGATAAGACAACAGGTATGAAGAGGACAATAAATTGGAAAACTTAGCTCATGTTTGGAGTTAGTTTTGTTTGTATATTTTACGTTTTTTTGAGGAAAAAAATAAAAACGGGAGAGAAACGATTTTTTACAAAATTAAAAATAAAAAACGGAAATAAAAACGATTGTTTGGTTTAATGTAAAATAAGAGAGAAATGAAAAACGACTTTCATTTTTTGTTTATGTTTTCTTCTCTCTCTAGCACACAGAGAAAGACATTAATGAATTTTTTTATACTGAAAATAATGATAAAACTACTAAATATATTTTTAAAAATGATTTATGTCTGAAATTAAAAATATTTTTATTTTTATTTTTATATAAAAAAATAAAATCATTTTAAAACGAATTTCAAACACACACACAGAAAAGCCATTATAATAGTGCAAAACGGCTAGGAAATCTAAGCGGTCGAAATAAATAATGAGGGGCAGGAAAGGTAGAAACGACAATGAAGGAAACACGACAGGAACATTAAGACGACAAGAACCAGAAATGGAGAAAAGCATTTGAAAGCCACTACAGATCCAAAAAAGGGAAAAGAAAACGAAGCCACCTTTTCATTTTCTTTGTCTGAGCTGTAGTCTGTTGTGTCAAAGGGGAGAAATTGATATAGAATGTCAATTTTTTCTTTTCAGTTTTCACTTTCTAATAAACATCGTAAAATAGTAAAATCAGATAAACTATCACATTGGGTACGTTTGAAATTGGTTCCAAAACGTTTTTATTTTCTGTACGAAAATGAAAATGAAAACGTTTTTAGTTTCATTTTTGAATTATTTCTAAAAATGCGTTTGGTAGTTTTATTTAGAGATTGATTTCAGTTTTAAAAAAAACTGAAACTGCGTTTGATGGTTTAATTTTTGAAAACATGTAATAATATATTAAATAAATAATATTATTAAATATATTAAATAAATAATATATTAAATATATTAAATAAATAATAT